TCCTAAGTATTTATAACTGTCAACAATCTCTAGACTTAAACCGTCATAGGTAAAATATAAATCATGTGTTATTCGACCTCTCCCAAAAATCATTATTTTTGTCTTGTCAACGTTTACTTTTAACCGCCATTTTATACAATATTCATGAAAACAGTTCAACATACTTTGTAATGACTCAGGGTTTTCAGCCAATAAAACAGTGTCATCAACATACAGCAGTGCAAAAAGCTTAATATATACATGGAGTTTATTTTCAATAATTTCAGATAATTTCTCTAGACCTGTTATATCATTCATGGTGAGGAATGATTCTAAATCATTTAGATAGATAGAGAACAGAAAGGGGGATAAATTTTCACCCTGTCTTACACCAAGTTGACAGGGGAAAGTATCTGAAAGAACACCATTTACTTTATGTTTTGCCTTGATACCCTCATACATCTTCTTGATTATTCTAAAACATTTTCCATCTATATTACAATAAAATAATATTTTGTTCCGAAGTCCTATTATCCATGCAGAATCAAAAGCTTTTTTCAAAATCAATAAAGGCACAATAAATTCTTTTTTTTAATCTTTTTGAATATTTCGATGATTGTATGCAAAGTAAATATATGATCAGTTGTACCATAATTTTTACGAAATCCAGCTTGATTTTCTTTTATTATTTTGAATTCTTCTGAATATCTATTAAGTTTTATTTTATTTAAAATGGATGTAAATAACTTTCCAACACAACTAATTAAAGTTATTGGGCGATAATTTTGGTTCTTTATCATCACCTTTATTCTTATAGATAGGAATTATTTACCACACAGCCACTCGGAAGGGAAACAACTACTGTTAAGAAATTTGTTGAATTTTTTTTGATAGAGGGGCACCATTATGTTGCATGAGCTTTTAATATATTCATTGTATATGTCATCACTTCCACATGATTTGTTTCTTTTAAGACTTTTTATACTTTGCATTATTTCCTCACAAGATATCGGTTCATTTATAGACTCATTACACTGTGAATTAGAGAGAATATCTATATCCTCATTTGATAAAACATAGTCAGGTATTTCATTATCTTTTCCGTATTTAAATCTTTAAAAAAAATCATATAATTCATCAGCAGATGCATTTACATTTTTTCTATTTTTTTGCCTAGAGTTAATTATTTTCCAATATTCTTTCGGATTTGTTGATTTTAGTTTTTTCAATTTTTCTTTGGTTTGATTTTTATGACTATTTACACACATGAAATGCCCATATGAGAGTGCATTTCAATAACAAACATAGAAATAAACCACTATTGAAATACGACCACTATTGAAGTAATTATACCAATAGTGGTTGAGAGTGTATTTCAATAACAAACATAGATATTAATATAACCAGTATTGAAATACGACCACTATTGAAATAATTACTTCAATAGTGGGTGAGAGAGCATTTCAATGTGATAACCATAGGTTTCAACCACTATTGAAATATAAGCACTATTGAAATAATAATCTAATTGTGTGGAAGAGTGCTTTTCAATATGATTAACATAGGTTTCAACCACTATTGAAATACGACCAGTATTGAAAGAAAAGTTTCACCGCGTAATTTTTAACTTTTTTATACCAAATTTTTCAAAACTTGGATTATGTGTGAAAAATACAAGATTAATAATTAAAGTGTATAAATTGATAAGGAAGGTTTACAATTTCTTTATATTCTAGAAATATATTTTTGCATCATTTTCAATGAAATCAGACCAAAAAATATATACCAATCCAGGCATCGATATTTTGTTTGTATCATCTGTCCTTAAGGGGAGACAGGGCACATGTCACATGACTTAAAAGACATATTACGTCATAATCGGTGATGATATACATGTTAAACGTTGTTAAAATCAATATATAGATAAATTCTAAAATTGTTTTTTAAACATTTAATTTTAGAAATTATTGTCAATAAAATTTTTAAAGATCTTGCCATCATTTAGATATTGTGAAGATGCTCAATTAACACATTTGTTTCTCTTTACCCTGCAGTCTGACGTCAGTGACGTCATAGACGTAGTTGTTTGAATTTTCGGTGCAGCGAGATCAAGTACACACACCAGTCATGATCATTTTATTTCATAATAAACGGGTCACAGTCAATGTATCGTGATAAATTTCGGAAGCAGATTTTTTAATAAATATTTTTTCGTGTTTAGTAGCAGAGATTCTCTCTATTTAGATCTATAATTTTGAATGTTTGTGTTTTCGTATGACGTCACAATTGATTTCCCGCACTCGGAAAATACAAACATGAAGCGTTTTTATCATGCTTACGTCTAATTCAACGATGTCCTGTGCGATATTGAGTCAAGCTTCACCCTGTGATATTTATGCAGTAAATAATTACGATGAAGGACTGACATTCAATCGTAAATTTAGAAATATGTATTGACAGATTTTTTTCCAAATGAGGTTTTTGTCGTTGAAGCTGCCTTGAAAAATGCAGAAATTATCCCACCCAAATACTATATAAAATTAAAACAATTGCTTTCAGAAAATTTGAACACTATGAATATTCTGAAATATTTGAGTAAATAGTGTTATCTATCATATTTATCGTTTGTGCGTAAAAATTCGCATTATGGTCTCCGTTATGGGCCCATAAAAATGAAGTATCTAAACTCCATACAAACTCTAACCATGGCGGTATTTGTGGGGCGATATCTTATAAATAAGTCAAGAAATCCCATGCCAGGACCGTTTTAAAATGTTAAGTACATATTAACTAAGTAATATAAAAAATACGAAAAAAATTTATTGACAGGAATTTTTTCGGCTAAAGGTCCTGTTCCTCCTTAAATGAAGATATAGATGGTTATTGAAATTATGCTTTCAAAAGTGATTTAAATAATCATTTTGATAGTTGTTGATAATATTACAAAACTTTGTACATAATTGAATCCATATTGAAATCTTTATTTCAAAAGTTAACATTATTTCAATAGTGGTTGCAACCTATGTTTGTTATTGAAATGAATCTCACCCACTATTGATATAATTATTTCAATAGTAGTCGTATTTCAATAGTGGTTATTACCTATGTGTGTTATTAAAATACACTCTCATGATCAACCACTATTGTTATAATTATTTGAATAGTGGTTGTATTTCAATAGTGGTTACTAACTATGTTTGCTATTGTAATGCACTCTCAACCACTATTGATATATTTATTTCAATAGTGGTCGTATTTCAGTAGTGGTTACTAACTATGTTTGTTATTGAAATGTACTCTCAACCACTATTGATATAATAATTTCAACAGTGGTCGTATTTCAATAGTGGTTACTAACTATGTTTGCTATTGAAATGCACTCTTAACCACTATTGATATAATTATTTCGATAGTGGTCGTTATTTCAATAGTGGTTGCAACAAAGCATACTCTGACCTATGTAATACGATAAAGGGCAGTTTGCGCTTTTTATAAACCCCTCCACGATCAATAAAGCGTAACTAGCTTTAAGTTATGTTATATAAGACGAAGCAGAATTTGTGCAACATCTTGTGCGTGAAAAGAAGAAAACACTTGCTTTGGCCTTCAACTCGACATTCAGATATATCAACGACGTACTGTCAATTAACAATAGTCATTTCCATTTTTGTGTCGATACGATATATCGTGGTGAGCTTGAGAAAAAAGATTCTACAGAGTCTGACAAATCTGTTTCATGTTTAGATATTTTATTTGAAAAAAAACGTTAATGGTAATCTAGAAACCACGTTTCATGATAATCATGATGGCTTTAACTTTTCTATCGCCATCTTCCCTTAATTATGCAGCAATATACCTTTGTCACCTGCATACGGATTTTACATATCTTAGTTGATAAGATACGCAAGAGCATGCTCTATGTATGAAGAATTCCTACCACGAGGTAAATTATTGACAAACAAATTAATGAAACAAGAATTTAAGCGGTTTCGTTTAAAACTATCATTTCGTAAGTTCTATGGTCGATACAATGAACTTGTCAGCAAATACAATTTATCTATGAGTTAGATGCTGATTGAAGGTTTTTCATATTAATCATTAGTCCATTTTTTATACACTGAATTGACGACGGATTTTCCCGTTATTTCTCAATCATGATAAGGAGCACACTACGGGTGTGACCGGATGTTAGGGGATGCTCACTCCTCCATGGCACCTGGTCTCTGCTGTTTCGGAGGTCCGTGTTTGCTCTGTCCCTATTTTATACTGTTTTATGGACTTTTGATCTGGAATACTGTTTGTTATATACATATGTTTCATCGAATAAGATAGTTTTATACAAGCTTCATTTCTTTTACATAACATGTATGTGCTATAAGGGAGCACAATTTGTGTCCATTGAAAATTTCAAAGGCTCAACTATGAGTTAAAGATTGTTTTGTAACTCTTTCTTGCAATAAATTTCTATACAGGGAATAAGGAGAAGATTTTAAATCGATTATGATGTCTTTCTTTCAATATTATGTAAAAAAAAAAAAACCTCTCTCGAGGACTCTACTTACTATCAGGAAGTGTAAAGAGTAAAAAGACTATTAAGCAAATGAGGACAGATCTTAGATGGTCGGCTGGATTAAGTGTAGTAGACTCGTTTTATCAAGGCTAGTTTAAAAAAAGAAAGCATAAATGGTACTTCAGTTAGTTATTGTCATGTGCCCCATAAGTAAAATCAAAGAACCTAAAGCTAATAACATGATTTTAAGAAGGCAAATATTTTATATTTGTTTTTCAATCATAAAAAGGCCATCTAACTGTGTATTTTAGAATGAACCTACCTTTTCGATATTTTATCTGGAAATCTTTAAAAAAATGCTGTGAAATAATAAAGATTGAGCATTTTTAAACTTATTATCAAGCATATAATTTGTAACACTTCAGAACAAACACTTAATAAAAATACGGAAGTAAAAACGCCCAAGTTCTGTTATAAAATTAGTTATTGTTAATCTATTTTTGTTCAGACGTAAATAGATAGCAACATGAAGTTCCTATTGAAAGAACTGTTCAACACGTACGATAATACGAAAAAACAACACACGATGATTTTAAATTTTATCTTGATAGGTATGTATTAGGCGTTCGATCTTTTATTCTTTCTCTCTCTCTCTTTCTCCCTCTCTCTCTCTATAATTTTTACAACTTACAGGAATAATATTTTCCGTTCCCGAAATATTCTGCCTACTAAAGCCTTGTGAGGAAAATGGAAAAACATACCAATTTGAAGGGTTGAAAAAGTACAGCTGGCTTACAGCAGCTGAGTATTGTAAAGAAGCCGGGGGAACTTTAGCGTATGGATGGACATTTTTTGAAGGGTATTGTATCTTCGGTGAGTAGAAATGTAATACATATAATATTTTAAAATGAATTCAACAATATAATATTGTCATATGCATATGTTTGTTTGTACTGTATATAAACGAGAAGAAGATATTAAACGTAAAGTTATCTTTCACTGTAGATAATCTTAGACAAAGCGTTGGTTCGTATTCCATCGGGGGTAAGAAACATCCCTCTAAAAACTGGACGTGGATAGACGATACTCCAATTACTCAGCCATCATACTGGGCTCAAGGTTTTATTTTTATACTGATTTAAATTTGAAATTGTTGTTAGAAATTGTTATAATGGAACATTCTATATTTTAAGGGGATAGTACGGTTAGTTTTTAATCAGTCTTCGATTGACTTAGTTTAAAAAAAGGAATCTTTCTGGTCTAATTATGTATGTATTTTTCATGTCCTATATGCTAAGACATCGCCCGCTTTCAAGTTTTATTGTTTCAATGGCCTGATGATTACAGCTAATTATCTCTGTAGTAGGAAAGGAGAAATGTACGAAGAAAACAGTTGGCTAGACCGAGAATAAACCCCGTGACCCCTGTATTACTAGTGCTCTAACCACTGAGCTATCCAGGCCGATATCAACGGACCGTAAAGCCCGAAATTATACATTCCTTCCTCCTTAAGCAGTCTTCGACCTCAAAGACACAAGTTCTAGGTCCCTGCCAGGAATAACTAATTTACACTTACATTGTAACCTTAACAAGGCTCCCGACACTGACTGCCTAATGCAGTAGAAAAGGAAAAATGCACAAAGAAAACAGTTGGCTGGACCGGGAAGCGAACTTGGGACCCCTGCATTGCTAGTCATGTGCTCTAACATCTGAGCTATCCAGGCTGATATCCACGGTCCGTAAAGCCAAATTTCTACATTCTAAATATTCCATTCACTGAATCTATTAAAATGCCCAGGTTCGATTCTCGTTTGCTGCAAGATATTAGCAAAGACAGTCACTGTTCGTTGTAAAGTGACCGGTTCAAGAAGTTCAATTCGTCGGTCTTGCAGACGAGATCTTAAAAACCGGTCCCTTTTCACGGTAGGCACGATAAAGATCATTTACTGCTTAATTGGATTTTATTTTAAATCGTTCACCGGTATATAGTGACGTCTTCATTGACCGAATATTCTCGAATTGGACTTAATGCAAAATACAATATTATTGATCAATTTTATAATCAATTAAATAATACACATTGTACTTTATTAATTTCTCGTAGAACTTCTTGAGCATTTTTATCCCCAATGTTTATATGCTTCAACCTACGACTGCTTGACATAAAATATAAATAAAGTTAATGATAAGGAACCTAAATCGTCTAAGAATGTCCAAAACTTGAAGGGTCTTAAATTATAACTCTTGTACTTTAAATTGTTTTCTATGCAGGTGATGGGTCTGTTATAGAAAGGGGCACCTTGATACTTTGTCATATCAAATTAAAGTACCAAATAGATGTTTTGAATCAAGCTAAAGGGCAAGAAATTCACCATATATCCTAGTGTCTTCCAAATTTTACAATAAAAAAAAAATAGATTAAAAATCAGTAGGGATTAATCTCAAATGCCAAAGCAGGTAACAAAACCCTCGTTCTTATAAGGACAATGATTCGAACACAAGACTTTCCAATCACAGAGTGAGCGCTATACTACCCTGACGGTTCGATATCTCTTCATAATGAAATAGAGTCAATTCGCTGAAATGAAAAAAATTAAGAAGGCAAAAAAATTAAATAAAATTAAATTCGTTTTGAAAAATTTGATAATTCTTTTCTGTAAATAAAAAAAAGATAATTCTTAATATCGAATTTTAATTTGTTTTGAGATATATTTAAATACTGAATGGGTTTTGTAGGATTTTGTTGTTTATATTGTAAATACACTTTTTTTTAAAATTGAAAAATGGAGCTCCTTGTTTAACGAAACCCTTCTCTTTTTCTGAAGATGAGCCTAATAACGCAGAAGGAAATGAAAATTGCTTACAATTCAAGTTGTATGGTCGCAACTTTCATTGGAACGATGTCTCGTGTAAAGAAATTGCTGGCTTCATCTGTCAGTGTGGGTACTGCTAGCTTTGAGTAGTAACTGTTATAAATTAAGAATAATTTTATTGCTTTAATCAAGAGGTATTCATGCAAACGTTTCGGAAGATTAATACATATAGATGGTCGAGCAAAACATAACTTTGAATCTTTTTGGAAAAATTCATTTCTTAGCAGAATAATATATCAAAGGTATTATTCTTAATTGATGACTTCGTGATGAAACAGTAGAGATGATACAGTGTGTCATATCACAGATTTAATGCCATGTGTTCGATACCAATTTTTATGGAACTTCTTTTGCACCTGGTAGTAATAAAAAAGAATACACATTTCAAAATAAAACAATCCCTCTTTCTATCTATGTATAATGTATCAATTTTGTTTGAATAAAACACATTTTTTTACTTTCAGTTAATTTTTTAATCTTAGAATCAACACTACCAGATTCACATGTACCTGAACGAACAACGCTTTACGAAGAATCATTTGTTGATTTCAATGGTAATGTTAAATATTTTAGAGCAAGAAGTTTTTCCCTCTAGCTAAACACAGTGCTTGCTTACAGGAGTAGGAATATATCTTTTCTGCTTATTGCATAAAGTTTGTTTAAAATAAATGGGATTTTATTTTTTTAAAAAATTTTATTGATTGTTTTGCTTTTATCTTTCAACTAAGAAAAATATCATGGCGTATGTTATCAGTGAAATTTTTCATCACGGAGTCTTTGTTATCAGCAACAGGTAGCAAATCAACAAAATCCAAAAGAGGTCACCAAGCGACAATATCAACAATAGATGACCGATCAATAACATCCACAACAGGTAGCCAATCAACAACATCAAAAACAGGTCACCAAGCGACAATATCAACAACAGATGACCAATCAACAACATCCACAACAGGTAGCCAATCAACAACATTCAAAACAGGTCACCAAGCGACAATATCAACAACAGATGGCCAATCAATAACATCCACAACAGGTAGCCAATCAACAACATCCACACTAGAAACATCAGTCAATGATAATGCCAGCCATTCATTTTTTTTCACTGCACAGTGATTTCTTCTTAAAAGGAAAGTACATAAATGAGCACAGTTACTGATTCATAAATTTTATTAGTAGCAAAATATTTAATAAAATATCACTTGTGATAAAACTGTTGTTTTAGTGTACGTGTGAAAATTTCTTCTATAATAATGGATTTGCTGCATTATTGGCGCGCAATCATAACCACTATAATGATTTAAAACGATCACTTTTACATTAGTTGTTGCAATGATTGCAGGACTTAACTTTACATATTTTACGTCCGTTTTTTTACTATAATTAAATAAAAAGGTTAAACCCAACTGATTAATATAATCAATACGGAACGTTTTAACAGTTAACGCTTTTACATGTTACGTTGTTTCATTATTAATGCTATATAATCAACAGAAGAAAAAAAATCCAATTGACCAAAAATCCAACATTTTGCGATAAGTAGATTTTTATATCATTTTTTCTGCGCACATATGTTTTCTTAAATTAACCCTTAAATCTCGTTCATCTACATGTAAAAGATGTTAAAGCAATCTTTTACTTAAATTCTGTCGTTTTTTACTAGGTACAGCAACGCCATTCTTTGAAGACAAGAATCGTCAGGAACAACATACTAATTATGTGACTAACAAGAACAATATCAAAGAAACGGTATGTATAAATATAAACAATAGATTTATAATAGTTAACAGGAACACTATTTTTAAGATTATGATTTTTAAAAATATTTTTTTAACAAGTTTGAAACAGGACTAAGCGAAAACCTAACGGAGACAGAGAAACTTATGAGGATTGAAAATGTACTAAGCAGATTGCAAGACATTTCATTCACCAACCAACTAACTTCAGAAGATTTAGACAATTTCCTAGATAGTCTAGATAAAATTTTGGATGATTGCAAGAAGTTTAATATTACACTTCCAAAGACGGTAAGTTCAATTTATATATATATATTTTATTTCATCAATCATTTGCTTTGTTAATTCCTCAATGTTGATATAATGTTGTTTAGGTTATTGTGACTACAATTGACAACCTACTAGCTGAGAATCACACAGCTGCATGGAAAAATATTTCTACTGAACAGGTATTATAATTTCGTGATTTATTCAAAGCAAGAAAATACCTTTTTATCAAACATTGTTTTCTTTTAAATGAAGCTCTATTTAAATTTTTTCCTGACACAGTTAAGAAGACGAGTAAGTAAAATCTTTAGAATTGTTGACAAATTCGGCTTACTTGTCTTAGAGACCATCAACGAGAACGAAAGCATCACTTTTAACACAACGAAGAACATAGGTAAAAAACAGCAGTTGCAATTGAATCAGTAAAATTATCGTTAATACTTATAAATATTTTAAAGTCTCCATTTCAGAGATTGATATTAAAATATTTTAATTTTTTTAGTTTTTAATGCTGCAAAACTTCTGGAAAATGATACTATAATGTTCCCGACAAACAACCACACCTTAGGTTCATCACTTGTACTTCCAGCACAGGCATATGGATCTCCTCAAAGTAAATTCAATTTGGTTTTTTCACTTGTTTATTGATAAGCTGTGTTCAAATTCATTTGTTCAATCAAGTCTATCGAATATGTGTGTTTTTTTTTTAGCACAGGCGTTTGTATGTTCTCAAAATAAATTTAATTTAGTTTTATTATCTGTTTCAATGTTAAGCTGTATTCAAGTTCAAAAAGTTATACATTTACTTCCAATTGATAGGTTTACCTTATCTTGCGGTGAATTACAAAACGCTAGGAAGCCTAATTAACAACATTAAGGGGTAAGAGTTTTTTTCTAAAATTTAAAAACTTTCGATATACAACTTGACTTGTCGATTAGACGAAGCAGTCTAATGAATTTCTCTTTTTTCAGACATGAAGAAAAATTAGGATACAGAATTCCCTCTGATATTATGTCATTAACAATTAATAAAACTTTAGTCAACAGATCCCTGGATCCTCCACTGCACATGAAATTCTTGAAAAAGAAAGTAGGTTAAAAATCAAAAGTAAAGAATCTTTATTTTTATAGGTATAATTCTATGAACTCCTTGCATTTTCCCTATACCGTTGTTTTTTTTCTAGGATTGCAATTCCATCAACGAATGTGTATTTTGGGATTTTCACTTAAAGTGAGTACCAAATCGGTGAAAATAGTACCTTTAAAAGATATCTAAAATACCTTTATTTTAATACATTTCCATTTATATTTCATATTATACATTTATTGCATGATAGTGAGGGAAATATGAAGACTTACTCAGCCAAGAAAAATCATATATGATCTTCATGTTTCCCGAACATTCATGCAATGAATTGTTTATTATACCGAAACAAACAAAACCTTTTGAAATAAACATAAACTTTCAAATTCGGCACCTCTCTCAAATTCATTTTCATTTATTACGTAAAGTATCATCAGTTTTGTGACGTAAACCAGGCTATTGTGACGTCTACTTCTCTCGGGAGTTTTCGTTCAACGAACAGGAACTACATTGCGGGAAAATACACTAGGTGTTCCGAAAGGTGGAATATGATGAAAAGCGTGCCGACGACGGGAAATATAAAGTTTTACGGCCCGCTCACGTGATAATCTAGAACCAATCAGATAACGCGTTGTGTAGAATATTTATAATGAGGTATAATAATATGTTTTGTGAAATAAGTTACAACTTTTCTAACTGTGACAGTGCTGGTGGGTGGTCAACTGTTGGATGCAAATTACAATCTGAAAATCATCCTTACGTTAATTGTGGATGCAACCACTTGACGAATTTTGCAGTACTGGTGCGATCATATTCAAGGGTAATAATATATTAATACTACAAATATATACAATAAATATCTTGGTGCTTTCAAAAAAAAGTAGTTCCAGAAAATATGTATCTCTTTTTGAGTAAATATTGATTCAAATATCTCTATGATTATCAAAACATATTTAGACTCAAGACGAAGAAGAGGTGTTGAGTTGGATATCTATAATTGGTTGCGCGATATCCGTGTTTCTCTCTTTGCTTACGGCAATCATTTACATCGTTTTCTGGAAGTAAGTAGTTTTATCAGACATTTATCGATCAATTATATTGTTAAAGACTTATTTAGAGAGACCCGCGTTTCGTTTTTCCCTCTATTGCAGAACTATTACCTGTGACGTCAGCAGAATGGTAAATAAGATCACGGTGCTTCTCTGTCTCAGTATTGCTCTGGCGTACACGATATTTCTAATAGGAGTAGACAAGATCCAGTATAAGGTAAGGTTTGGGATAATTTGCAATACATAATTGAAACATTCATACTTTTTTTTCATGATTATGGATTAAATAACTCCATAATGGCTCCATTAAGAATGCTTTGTACGCATAGACATTACTCCCAAATGCAATTGTAAATATCAAATGGTATTTACTTGACTAATTATCTTCAGAAATGTCCTTATTCCAATCCTGTCATAATACAGAAGGTAAATTCTAGGGATGGCAGCTTCTAACCGGTTAACCGATTACTCGGTCGGAACGATGGTAATCGGTTGGTCGGATAAAATTAAACAATATATTGTTTACCTACTTTTAGGAATGTAAGGAATCTCTGTATAACTGTTGAAAGTTCAGTTTTTTCACATATCCAACCTGATTTGGAGGTAATTATGCTAATTTGGATTGAGATTGTTGGGGTAATTGGTCAGTTTGTGTTTGAAGAGTTAATTACTGTTTGAATGTTAATGTCGTAACACAGACTGTCTTGTATGTCTAAATTGATAATTAAATCAGCGTTTTGAGCTGCAAACTAGTATGGTTTTTTGCAGTTTTCTGTCAAGTAAATAACTAAACAAACTTTAAAAATTAAATAATGTGTTGACTTAGTATTGATTATTGTAACAACGCAGAACGAGCATTGTGAAATTTACTTTAGAAAAGTATCGATGATTTCTCAGACATTATTCCTGGTTTTCTTATCTTTCTATATTCTGCATTATAACTGGAATAAATTATAGAGACATGAGGATATTTTTAAATCAAGTATCCCGACGAATAAAATGATTTAACATCTAGACTTTATCAATTTAATAATAAATGTACGTATATCACGAAAATGCGTATTTTCATACGGTTAACCGGTTAATTGGTCGGAATGTCTTGCGGTTAACCGATTAGAAATTCTGTATTCGATTGCCATCCCTAAAAATACAAATTATTGAATTTTCAATACATTTCGGGTTCAGTTTTTGAGTTGGCTTGCGTAGCAAGCTACTCCCTGTTGACATAGCCGTTTCAGAGCTGTAAAATTTTTCACACATTCATCAAGGTGATCCATACACCAATGATAATAGTTCTAGCAAAAAATGTTTTGGTTTGAGTGATTGTACAAACTTAAGAGGTAAAAACTGTATAAAATTTCATACTGTAACATTATTTATGCCTTCATGCTTTTAAAGAAATTTTTGATTAAATATCTGTAAGATGTACAATTACTGCGTATGAATATATCTTCAAGCATGTTAGGCGGATCTAATCTTCCCATCTGAAGTTTATTTATAATTGACCTAGAATACTCCCTAACACAAACACCTGCTGCTCTCATAAGCTGCAGCTAGTTGTTGTTGAAAATCTATTTTTAGAATCCAGATTTGCTGTGGTAATCTTTAACCTAATTATTCCATAACACTGACCACTGCAGCTAGTGTGCTTAAATTTATTATAGAATCCAGTCAAAATAATACGGAAGCCCATTAGTGCCAACCTGTATATATTAAGGAAAAGCAATATACACTTTATTTATGAACCGAACATGGATCAGACATATAATATTCAATCTCTAAAGATGCAAAATAAACTGAATATATTAAGGTATGGTGCCCAGATGTATGAAAAAGCTCAATTGACTCCAGCAAGTCAACTCGCAGGCCCTTCAGGCCTTTGATTTTTCACTTTTCTTCAGATTATTAAACACAAAATAAACATCATTTCAAAATGTGTAGGAATGTCATAATAGTTAAAAATGGAAATATATATATTTTCATCACTTTTTTGCCCTTGGCGAGTGAAACGAAAAATAACTTATTAGATAATGTTAAATTTTTTCTTTATTGTTCATATAGTCGTTCATTAAATGTTATACTTGAGTTTATTAGAAAGAAGGCTTTCCTTTTAAAGGCAGATGGTCAAGACTTCTGGTTTATGTTTCAGGTCGGATGTGTCGTGATAACTGCTTTATTACAGTACATGTTCTTGTTGATTTTCGTCCTGATGCTGGCCCTTGGGTTGTACTATTTTAGTAGCATCTCCTTGGTCAAAATATCGTTTTCCAAAGCTACAACATTTCAAAGTAAAGTCAATTTCTTCAATAAAATCGTTTGGGGAATCGTTGTCGGTGAGTAAAAAAACACAACATTTTAATGAAATTGTTTATGAAAAGTTTTTGAACTGTAAACATCAATTGCAAGATAAAAACCTCACTTTATTTCAGTTATACCAATAAGTATAACGGCAATAACTATTGGAGTTGTATATTCCTTGAACAAGGATTACCATTCAAAATCGAGGTAAAAATTATCATTTATATCCTTCAAAGAATTATTTATAATTTTGGTAAATAAATACGTTAAGGGTCCTCCACACACACAGAGCTTATGCTCTCATATTATTGAGCATTACTTTTACTACAAGCATATGATTAGCCTGAAAGTATAAATAACCTAAAGGTTTCTCGTCATACCGGCACCCGTTGTTTATGAATAATATTTAACATAATCCCAGACGTCTGTTGTTCTTTTATTTAAAAAAAAAAACTGCACATCTTTTTCCATCGGTCACTCCGTGATCGTGCCATGTGTTCATTGTTTATCATTAGGTGTCGCTCTCAGTGTACTGCATACTTTTCTCCAAGCAAAGCATTTATCTCTAAAGCGTTTGTGAGACACTTTTACAAGCGGTGTCAGGCCAAACCGTCAATGTGCAAACTAGATAAAACCGGAAGTAAAATTATTTTTCCTCTATATACATCACAAGTCACATGGTGTGGAGGACCCTGAAAGCAATTGCATTGAAATATTAGTGTCTTAGGGTTTTCTTTGCAGTTGCTGGTTATCATTTGATAGTGGAGCTTTGTATGGATTTATTGGACCCGTAGCTGGCATTGTCCTGGTAAAATATTGTCGATTTAATGCATTTAAAGATCACCGATCATGATACAATAAAGCTAATATTTTGCCCAAAGACAAGTGTACGGTACTCAATGTGCATGGTAAAGCCGATGGCACATATCTTATTTTCATCTAATTTCAGATCAATATTGTCATTGTTATCATCCTGGCAGTGACTCTTTGCTCAACGGGATACTCACCACAAGATAAGACGAAGAACAGGATATTGTGAGTCATTTTGAATTTTAATCTAGATATCCATTATTCATTTGAACTTAAAGACGGTCGAAAATGTTTTAATTAAAATCATCTAGAAAAGCAGAAGTGTCAGTATGTTTATTAAAAAAAAAGAAAATTAACATTTTATTACTAATTCTTATTTTCTCTTTAAAGTTAGCTGACAAATGACATAGTAAATTCAATTCAAACTTGTCGGATTTTTTTCAGAGCTGGAATAAAGTCCATCTGTACTCTATTACCTGTTCTGGGCGTGACGTGGTTGTTTGGCCTCTTGTCCATTAATGAGGATGTGGTCGTCTTTCAGTATATATTTGCTTTATTAAACTCCTTTCAGGTATCTATTCAGTTTCAAATATCAGTGTTTTAACTATGCATCACCATTTTGTTTATCAGAAATGCATGATATACATGTAATACTTTTATGTGTTTATCTTTTAAGGGGCTTTTTATTTTCATCTCAAAATGCCTTCTCAGCAAAAAGGTAGGGACAATTAACAAAACAGAAATGTGGTTGATTATGTATTCTTTTTTTCTCATTGTAAATCAATTTTTTGCAAGAAAAAGTATAGAAAATCATTTTTTTATAAAGACACGAGCATGTTTATAATTTAGAAGAAAGATGTCTACTTGACTCTTCTTTTAGATTTTGTTTATTTAATATGGTTGATATAATTGATTAATGCTGAACAGACTTTTTTAATGTAATGCTTCAGATCAGAAAGTTACTAAGTGAAAGTATCCACAGAAATGATTCAGAAAGTTGGAGAGGTAGACTTTATTCGTTACTGAGCAGCCATCCGTCGACCATGAACACGAAGGAGTTTTCATCATTCTCTAAAGTGAGTTTCATCATATGTATACTTTTACGAAACAAAAATATCATAAAAATTTTATTTTTTAAAAGAAATGATAAGCATTTTAAGTCATCTGTGCATAACTTTTTAAAAAAAGAAAAGAAAGAAAAAACTATATTAATCAAAAGAACTATTATCGCTTTTCATGAAACTAAAGAGCCATCTTGAAAAAGATTCTAAAATTAAAGATGGAAAACGGAAACTGATCAAGGTATTCTAGTCTATACGATAAACTATTATGTATCGATAATTTTGTGTTGAAATATACAATCTGATTTTTCTTTTGATTGATTTTAAAATGGGATATATATTACAAAATCAGTGTTGAAATATATATCAACTCGGTAAAATCTTTAGTCACTTTGAAATTGATTTAATTGAGAAATTTGACATTTCAGGGAATATCCTTTAGAGGCAGATATAGTGACAACACAGCCTTGTGAAAGTGCTTGGCAAAAGAAGATTTATAATTAAATCATTAAAAAAATATCAATTATACAGATAAAAGCTTTTAAAACTGAGTCTTTTCTCTTAGAGACTTTAAAGTTAGTTAATATAATATTGTTCTGTTTGATACATAACTCTGTTTTTTATCATAAATTTTAGAAAATCAGTATTGTTTGAGAAAATATTTCATTTTTTAAGCCTTTAAAATGGTGTTATCTGTTTTGAAACGTGTTTGTAAGAAATGAAAATTGTGATAAAAACGAACAATCATCGATCTCAGAACTTCTATTCACTATACAAGTATGAGAACAAAATTGTAAAACATGGTACAGTGGAAATTCTAAAAAGAGAATAAGGTGCCTAGGAATATAAAGCATCCCCATGATGACCGATCATAACCGCTTCGGGCGCTATTTACCAGGTATACGGGATATCTAGTAGTAATGAAGACGTGGTATGAAAATTTCTAACAAATTGATAAAAAGTGTCACATTATAACACAACTTGAATGTTTATTCCTAATGCGTTAACATTTTCAAATATATGATTAGTTCCTTAAGTTTCAAAAAGAACTTTTCTAATTTAATTCTTAAATAACGAAATTCGTGCATTATCAGCACGTTTATCCATTGTATTGAAACAGAAGCAACTGGAAACATAAATGGATATGGTCTTGAGAGTAAAGCGTTTTTCATATGTTCACAAGAATTATTAACGATATAGAAAATATAGTATTGTTCACCATCTTTTTTGTGATTATCCACATTATGTAATTTTCTAAATTTATTTTCTAGATACCGGGTATTTAAAAAAAACCTTTTGTTGTTTACAACGAAAATCAACCACTAGCTCTTTTTAATTGTAACGTGTCTGTATCTACTCTGGTATGGGTGTCTTTTATTTTTACAAAAGTTTTCATAGGCACAGACACGGCACAATGAGCGAACGAACGTCCATCTACTTGAAAATGTTTGGATAAGTACATAAAGTAGACTTCGAATTTCTTCCTCCGATATATTAGCGAATGATAAGGGTATTTTGAGGGTTTTTTTTTTAATACTCAACCCTTATATGACTTATATCGTAAAATATAATTTTCATCTATTTGAAATGTATTATATAGTTCTTTTTAGACAAAAATGTCAATTCTGTTAAATAAATTTTGAGTTTAAAAGATTATCAACATATATATTTCTCTCTCTCATCAACATATATATTTCTCTTTCTTATCAACATCTCTCTCTCTCCTCTTGGAGGGTAGTGCACCTAGTCCAGGCCTATCGTTAGTGGATGCTCATTTCCTATGACACCTGACTCCATCTTGTTTAGTGAAGTTTCTTTGTCATTTTACAATAGTCGTCACAATGGCTTAGTTGGTAGTGCGCTCGTTCCGATGTCAGAAGGTCGTGTGTTCAATTGATAGCAACTGCTCCTTTACCAGACGCTTGTCAATTAGAAGTAAAAGTTGCGGGTCCTTTTGATGAGAACTTAAAAATCGATGTCCTGGCCGTGCTACGGTTGACGTTGGAGTGATAAAAACTTAAACCCTCACTACTCAATGGTCCAAAGTGTCTAGTGAATGTCCGCGATAAAGTTCCTTCCATACTCGATGGTTGAAAGCGTCGAGGAAAGGCCTACAATATGGATCCCTCAATACTTTATGATTCAAAGTGTCGAGTTAAGGTCCTAATTTGAATTTTCACGGATATACGGATATATTGTAACACCTCTTAATGATTGAAAAATTCTCGCCTTGGACGTAAAACAACATACAATCAATCATTCTTCTTGTAAAATACCAGTTTATTGAATTTCTAACAAGGTTAGTCCTAGCCATATTGAGATTTCATTTGGATAAGTTCCCCTCTTTCTTTTAATCAGAATACATTTACTGCTCTTTAGAAATAATTGTTAATGCTTATTATAATTAGATGAATTTTGCAATCTACCTATATAAATCCAAGATGATTTTTTCTTAACTTCAGATAAAGAATGCTTCCTAACATCCAGCGAAATTGCAATTAAAACTTTCATATATACGTTTGACAATAAAATGCATACGTACATAATATGTAAATCAAAGATGGAAATTACAATCAGTATTCAAATTCGAAAGCTCATTTAAGTTATACAAGTTAGGATCAAAGCAAACAAGACATTCTAAAACATCAGAGGTGGGATCAGGTGCTATGGAGAAGTGAGCATATCCTGCAGGCAAGTCATACCCGCCGTGTGCTTCTTGTCATGAAAGGGAAAGCGAAAATAATCTGTAGTAAATTATTGATAAGCAAGTTGATGAAACACGATTATCAGCAGTCTCGTTTAAAGTTCTTTGGTCGATACAATGATCTTGTCAGGAAATACAATTTATCATTGATTCAAATGCTGACTGACGTTTTTCATATAAATTGTTAGTCCATTATTTATTCACTGAATTGACGACGGATTTTTCCGTTATTTCCCGATTATGACAAGGAGCACACGGCAGGTGTGACTGGTCAGCAGGGGATGCTCACTCCTCCATGGCACCTGAACCCACCCACTGATGTTTTGGAGGTCCGTGTTGCTCTGCTCCTATTTTGTATTGTTTTATGGACTTTGAATTCTGTTCGTAATCTCCATGTCCTCCCGTAGAAAATTCAATATATAAACAATGATCTAGCAATTGATATAAATTCGGTTAGCATTTGAGTTATTGATAGATTTTATTTCCTGACAAAGTCATATTCCATGTGACTTGTTGAATGATAACTTCGAGCAAGACTTAATATTCTTATCCCATATGCCTGTATGTAAAAAGCTGAATGAGAGCAAGAGGTATTTACGTACTTTTGCTTCGGATGAAATCACAGGAACAATGAAAAGTATAAAAACAATGTATAATTCCCAAGTATATTGATTTTATTTATTTAAAGATACATGTATGTATTTCAATTCTCTTGTACGTTTTCAAGAATCGGAATCGTTGCATTCGAAAGGAGGGATTTTCCCAGTTACAATTGGATAGTAATTTTTCCGAAGAATTTTGATATTCTGTGTTGTCCATTGAAAGTTGCTGCCAGGGCATCTTCTAAATTCTTCCACTGTTTCGTCCAAAATCTGATCGTATGTTCTATACAATAAAAATATTACAAATTCAGAAGCATTTTCTCTTAGATGTTTTGGGAAAACATTAATCCCAAAAATGAAAAAGCTCATATTAGAAACATTGAATACATAATCCTTCATTTTTCATTCATGAAAGATTATCCATCCTTTCCATGTTATTCAAAAGAGTTCAATAATTCAACAAGAAGAACAACTGAACAAGAAAAACTGGCTTTACAATTACCCGAAAAATCCATCAACAATTAACTGAATGATACTAAAAGAGACTGTATTTGCTGATAAAGCCAGTGCATAGATCTATGATCTTATGAAATGATGATTTTGAACGACTATTTTCAAACATCTACATTTCAAATATAGAAATGAGAACGTTTCATCAACCTGTTTGTCATAATTAAGTCGTTTAATAAATTGTTCAACAAAAGTAAAAATGACAAAGAACATACATCCATAGGTAAAAGTTGCCATTGCTTTACAACTGATACCACCGATTTAAGTGAATATTCTGCTATGATCTTTGTCAGATATTTACACTTCCAAATTCATCATATTAACACTACATTGCATCGTAACTTTAAATGTTATTTGAATGTAAGCTTTGTTAATGTTTGTCGTGACATTTATTGTATTATCTTTCTTTTTTTTTCAACATTTAAGTCTTTTGGTCAATGGATGACAAGTTTTATTTTTTTCTAAATGAAAATTTAAAATGTTAACTTACTGAAACGTTATATGATGTTCTTTTAATAAGCGTACGGCTTAAACTTACGTGCAGAAAGACTCTTTGGTCACATCTGTTGTGATTTTGTGGTCCACGACAGATTTCATCAGGGGTCGCAATATCTGTGAGTAGTTATCAAGCTTCACGTATATACTGTTCAGACATGGTCGCAACTCTTGCATCACTACAATAATAAAGGGAGAATTTTATCAACCATCACTGCAATGAAGGATAATAAAAATTCTGGAAAAAAAACTTTTTCACATGGTCAAGCACTTACTTGGGTACATAGGATTTATACAAAGGTTTGTTTCTGGAGTTGTAAAAATGGCAATATAATCTCTTTCGCCTGCACAGTCTGGGT